CATATGTGACAGGCTAAGGACAGGGGTGACAGAGGGATTTGGGGTGAACCATTTGGTGCCCCATTTGGTGATGTTTGCCAGATGTTTACAGCTGATGAAGAAAGGGGAGTCATTGGAAATGAGAAAGAAAAGGCACAGGTCAGCTGTGGGAGTGAAGAGATAAGGGCTTGACTGAAGAAGAGGAGATTAAGGTAGTGACATGACAGCAGCTTCCAAATATTTGAAAGGCTGCCATAAAGGGGAGGGTGAACAACTGTTCTTCCTTTGCTGCAGAGGTCAGGATACAAGGCAACGGGTTTAAATGGCAACAAGGCAGATTTAGATTAAAGGGCCATTGAACAATGCAACAAGCGGCCTAGGGAGGTTGTGGAGTCTCCTTTATTGGAGGTTTTCAAGAAGAGGTTGGATTGGTATTTGTCTGGGATGGTTTAGGAATAAAGCAGACCCTTGAGGTCCCCCTATCCCCTTGAGCCATAGGACCCATGACTATGACTCTGTGCTCTGAAGCCAACAGTGAAGCTCCCATCGACTTTGATGAGAGCAGAGTCAGGTGCAAGGGGGCCAAACTCGAGGTGCAGTTGCAGTTGTATAGCGGGCTCCTAGGTTCTTAAGCCCAGCAGATTTCAATGCGAGCTCAGGACTTTTACCAGGCTGGTTGGGCACAGGTGGGCATCTTTAGACACCCAATGACCTTTGTGCACCTGTCCCGAGGTGTGCAAGTATTTGCTGTACCCGAACTCAAGCCTTCTTACCCAGTCAAAAATAAAAGTCTGCCACGTGCCACCTATATTGTAATAAGCTTCTGGTTCCACCCATCAAAATTAAACAAGGCAAAGCATCAAAAGTGGAAGGTCTTGAGTCCTGCTGTACTCCCTGGTCACAATGATATTTATACAGCTAATGAACACAGCATACCTGATGACTGAAGCCTATGCGGCCCCAGATTAAATTGGCAGAGGATATCTTTGCTGCTCTCTTCTTTGGGGATTTACCCTGAGCTATACACCTGCTTGTTCTAAACCTGTTTATATGACATGTCCTTCAGCATAATGGCATGCAAGTAAAATATGGTTTAAGAGGCTCTGAAAACTAAACAGCCTAATAGATTTTCATTCTTTCCAGTAAATGGCAAGAAAGATGAGATCAAAAGAGTAAGCAATATTCTATTAAGTCCTGCATGGCTAATACGTTTCAATCTCTGGTTTATTTTTATTATTATTACTATTATTACTATTATTATTTATACAGAGCAATCCATTTAATCCCCTCGCTATTGAACAATTTGATTTCCATCATCATAAACTGCACTTGTCTTGCACAAAATCAGATAAGGCAATAAAATCAGAGCCTTTCAAAGCTTGGGACAAAACATGGCTCAGCTGCACTCTGCTTCTCAGGAGCCATGCATCACCACCACACAAGGGACTCAGATGCAGCCAGGCCATTTTCCGGGCTGCCTCAGCTATGTTTTCCAGTCTTACCCCAGGTTCTGGCACAACCATTGGAAGGGTACAGGGCTGACCCTCTTCATCTAGGACAACAAAGGTCATGAAGGCACTGTTGATATGTCTTCGACTCACTTTCATTTCTTGTCCGTAGGCTTCTACACATACCCCAACCTCCATGCTGGGAATATAAAACAAGAACAGAAGCATATAAAATGCTGTGTCTGCTGCAAAGAAACACTGCTGCATAGGTCTGCGATTCTCAACCAGAGTGTCGTAGCACCCTGGGGTGCCTTGAGATCCTTTCAAGGGTGCTGTGGGCTGCCACACAATATTAGCACTGTTAGGGGTGCAGGATAAAAACTCAGTGATCTCCTCAACCTGAAGAAGGGTGTTTGTACCCAAAAGCTTGCAAAGAAGAATTTTCCCCAACTATTTTAGTTGGTCTATGAAAAGATATTGGATTTACCCAACGGACCCCGTCTGCTTGAGGTTTCACATAGGAATCCAAAGCATTAAAAACATTCTGAATTGCTGCAGCCTTTCCAAGTTCTTTGGCATAGAAGAATCACTCTATTATTTTTCTGTAGTCAAAAGATGAGTGAAACTAAGAGCTGGGATTTTCCAAGGGAGTCTCAAGTCTAACGAGGGGTGCCTCAAGTCTAAAAAACATTTGAGAACCACTGAATATATCAGATTTACCCAAAGAACCTCATCTGCCCATGTCCTTAGACCAACACCCCTGACTTAGCTAAAGGAATCCGGCCTTCCATACATTACTTATTTACCACTATCTGCCCAGGAGCCCGGAAAAGGCCTCCCAGGATTAGAGCAGCTTGGTCAAAGAGATGTGAACAGAAAGAAAAGTTGAGCAGGGGAAGTTCAATTTGTTGAAACTTGATGACATTTTCATCAAAATTTGACACTTTGGTTAAAAACAAATAGTGGAATTTGTGAATTTTTCTCCCCTTGGTTTTTGCTGTTGCTTTTCAGCATGTGGGACCTTTTCTGCTCACAAAGATTAGATACCAGCAAATTTCATCACAGACTCCCAGGGATTTTAAAAGGAGTTCACAGAATCATAGAAAAGTAGGACTTCATACACGCATGGTTTCCCAGAGGAGCTAGAGACCCTATAACGTCTGGTTTAAAACACTCCCAGTAAAATCTATTTTTCCTCCCTCTAATGTTTAAATGAGACCCATATCAGAAGTAAAACAAAGATGCACAGTCACTGGTCATGACACACAAGATGGTTCAAATAGGTCTTTCGACCTCTTGTTTCCACAGGTTTATCCAGTTGACTTTGGTCTGCCCTGAACCCATGAAATTCAGCCTTGGAAGCTGGCCTTAAGTCCTGTATCAAGCCAATTTCTGAGTCAGTAATTTGTCAGTAATTTGTTCAATAATTTAGTGGGGAACATCATGTCTCTTTATTCAGACCTAGTCTCCTTATGTAGGCTCAGGCACCAAAACTGAGCAGAACGGGCACATGACATCAACACCACCTCCCTTTTCAGTCATTTTTCCCTCATGCAAAATCAATCAGCCAACAGTTTAATCTTCAAATACAACGAAAGCCAACTTCTGACTTTTCCCCCCCCACAATCTATTCCAAGCCCACATCAGAGCCAGCTAGGTTCATACCTGTTTTTGAATACATTATTAACAATAGCTTTTAGCAGGAGGCGGTCCCCGACTTGAGACGGTCCCCTGAAATGGAACATTTCTATGGCCTTCAGAGTTGGGTGGGCATGGCACAGCCGGCTGTAGGATGGGAACAAGATCAGATTACAAAAGGTATCAAAAAGGAGAAACACATTGACCTAATGACACCGTACGGACAGCTGCCGGCCTGTAGTGGATGAAACAGCAAATGCAGTCGAGTGGTCTCCGCCGAAGGACAACAGCTCAGAACCAAAAGTATTTTTTAACGCTGGGCCAGCTTTTCCCATTACACCGTACCCAGCAAGCCTTAGATATTTCAACCAATTTTCTGCTCCTATCTGCTCAGAAAGACTGCGGTTGAGGTCCATCTACCCCTCCGTTTTTGTCCATCTAAGCCTCCCTCTTGGTTAAGCCTTAAATCTCTTGTCCCTCCCACCCAACATCATGGCTAATCATCGTTTCATGCAATGGAAAAGCATCATTTTATCATCCAGTCTAAGGTGTGTGCAACTGGGATGGAAACCTGGCACAGTTCTCCCAGTAGGTCATCGAGACAGGTCTTTCCAAGCCATTCTCTGACAAGAGGAGAAGGGCACACTCAGACCATCCTATTCCTCTCCAAGGCCATACAAGCCTTAATCCTCCCTTCATCAGAGTCAGGGAGGGAAAGGAGCTCGGTTTAAAACATATTGCCCACAACACAGCTTTACAGCATAGCTTCCTCTGGGTACCGCACTGCAGCATTAGCACTTGGTTGGAGCCCAAGTGAAGACGTGGACTTGGGCCCACATTTATTTTGGCACGGAAGTGAGAACGTAACTGTCTGGCTGATGGTATCATCGCACTGTCTAGTCCACCAGAATGTGCCTGGAACTTTGGATACATTAAATACATTTTATAATTAAGTAGATGCAGAAAAGTATGCTTAAAATCTGAACTCAAACCCTTCAAGTATTGCTGTTCCGGGACCACAGCTCATGCTCCCCCATTGATTCGGAATAGCAACTACTCACTTTTCAGTGAATGCAAGCTAGAAAATTCAGAGTTAGCATCTGAAGTTCAAAACCCATCTGCAAGGATAGATAGAGAAAACTGGGATAAAGCACTTAACTCCCTCACTACTTCCCTTCCCAAGAAAGAGTACACAGGGGACCATCCACAAGCCATAACTGCTGCCTCCATGGTGCCATGCGCTAAACACATGCTGACTGGTCCAAGACAAATGGTGTTAGTCTCTGACCTCCTCCAAGGTTCAGAAAGAAATGTTTCCAAGATCACAACAGCACCCACTGAAAATCTGCCCCTGATCAAGAGAAAGCACAAGGTCACTGATTGGGGCAGAGTACAGAAACGCTGCTCAGCACCACACCACAAGTGCTTTTCAATGCACATGGCAAGAGTCCCTTAAGGGAGACATACTGCTACAGCCAACCCACATGGATTATGCTTCCCATACGTTGAACAGCCTTGACAGAAGGAAGTATAACGACAGCCAGCTAACTCAATCTGGGGCAGCCAGGTGTTCCCATCCCTCCTGGATATAGTTTCATAGTTTCATAGTTGGTCGGGTCGGAAGGGACCTGAGCAGATCATCAAGTCCAACCCCCTGCTGTGGCAGGAAAGAGCACTGGGGTCAAGTGACCCCAGCAAGGTGTTCATCCAGCCTCCTCTTAAAGACCCCCAGGGTAGGAGCCAGCACCACTTCTCTTGGAAGTTGGTTCCAGATCCTAGCCACCCTGACCGTGAAGTAGCGCCTCCTGATGTCTAGTCTGAATCTCCCCTCTGCCAGCTTGTGACCATTATTCCTGGTCACTCCTGGCAGTGGTCAGGGGAACAGGGACTCCCCCAGTGCCTGCTGGTCCCCTCTGACTAGT